TGTTCAGTCGCACTTGCGCGTGTCTACGTGTGCTGAAGGCCAGAAGTCCACACTTGGTGTCCCCTCTGTCACTCTCCATCTCATTTTTGAGACAAGGTTTTTCACTGACACTGGTGTTGGAGTCCATGGAATCTACGCTGGTGGCATCTACCCCACCCCCATGGCCTCCAGATAGGTTTACAGTTACATCACCACACCCAGGATTTCCTTGGGTGCTGTGGATCTGTGAACTTAGGATCCTTCTCTAACTGCTGCCTTACAGAAAAGCAGGGACTTTGCAAGCCGTGTGGTGTTCGGTGCAGGCAGGAGTTCCAAGAATACCAGGGAAATGAATTAGTGTGGCCTCTGACTGGGTTCGTGCTGGAGGCCCCACATCATGAGGCTCAGTGCCATCACTGCAAAATAAGTTAACAAATCGATGCTGTCTAAAGAGACATTCTTTTCTTTGCAGGGTAACCCTGTGCTCTGCAGAGGAAGGTGCCTGGTGCTTTTTCTGCTCCTGTGATAAACACCCTGACAAAAGCAACCTAAAGAAGGGTTATTTCATTCCACAGTCCACCATGGTGGGAAAGTCAAGGTGGCCCGAGCCAGGGCAGCAGGTTCACGCTCCACACATAGGTGAGCGCTGGTGCTCAGCTGTGTATTCGCACCTCAATTAGCCAGATCAAGATCCTCACAGGTGGGTCCAGAGGCTAACCTCATGAGAATAAGCCCTCCTGAGTGTGCCTCTCTCAACCTGTGGGTCCCCACTTTCGGAAAACACATATTCCCAATAGTCTCAGGAACTGAGACACCACTCAGTAGCGAAATTAGTTATGAAGTAAGCAATGAAAATGAATGTATGATTGGGGGAGGTTGCTAAGGCCACCGGTGATGTAAAACACTAACACCACACCCATTGTTTTCTGTTCAGTCTTAAGAAGTTTGAAACACCTGTTGTGATTGATAGTGTAGGGTAGACGCCAGCAGTGACCTTTTGGCAGAATTTTGTCCCTGTGCTGACAATGTCACCTGGGCAGTCACTCTCCTTGGACAACAAGAATAATAATAACACCCAGGTAACAGGTAATAACTAAGTGAGCTGGTGTGCTCACTTAGTGTGCTCAGGATGGTGCCATAAGTCCCAGATACAACTCAGGACCTCCAGCTCTGTGCTGGTCTGCATACCTCCCTTCTGTCCCGTTAGGGACCCCTGCCCTGAGTGTGCATTTAGGAAACAGTATAGTCCAAAAGTTGGCTCCTCCCAGGACAGTACCTGGACACGCCTCTCTCTGATACAGGTGTTCAGCAAAGACAGTACAGAGGGGCAGTCCACACTGCTCAGGGCTGAGGAGCCCTGCTTCAGCTAGTCTTTTCCTTTCCCATCCCCAGCCCCCACTAGATGCACACTGAGAACCCCCATAACAGTGTGTTGTGTGAGCATGAGGCTTCTGTCCACCCACGGCCCCTTGGGTAGGTCCTGATTGCATTAATTGGTGACAGTGACTGGCTGATCTTGGACCACGGGGCTGCCGTCCAATGGCATTGTAGACAAAAGGCACTCTATGTAAAATTCCCAGCTGCAGGCTTTGTTCTGACTGTACCAAATGCACACCCACTTGGGACGCTAAGGAGAGAGGAAAAGTACCCAAGACATTTTAAGACTTAATCCTGCCTTGGGTCTGATGAAAAATGCAGAATTTGTGGGATTTCTTGAGTAATGTTTATTCGATCTGGAATGCTGCTGTGGCTGGGGAAAGTGGCTTAGAAATGACTCAAAGCAGCTTTCACCAGAGTAAACGGTGTTTAAAGTGTGTTTAACCTAGATGTTTGCTTTGTTCTCGAGGGCTCCGTACAACAAGCCACGTGATTCGAGAGTCATAGCCAGACAAATGCCTGCCTGTGGGAAAAAGAAAAGCAGGAGCAGCAAGGACCTACAGGGCTGGCTGGGGTGCATGGTTCGGCACTCAGGAATAGTTCCCAGCTTCTCTTATCGACACGTAATAAGCCACGTTGTTAAACAGTGATTATTTTCTAATCACTTAAGAGAACTTAAAAGGCCTTCTTCTATAAATGAATTAAAGCCATTTCAAAATTAACTTTGAAAGAAAATTAGAACCTATTAAACATCTTTGTTTGCTTAAGGGGGAAGAAAATAGAGGGGAACACCGGTAGACCCCTGAAGGAGACATTTCTGGCACTGGGGCTTTATGCAATTCAGCAGGCAAAACACAGCACTTATGTTCTTCCCAGTCTATTTCCTATCTGGATGGGTTTTTCCAAAGATAGCTGCAGGGGCTGGAGGAGCTGGGTGGAAGAGCTGGAGCTCGTGAGAAGCCTTGAGTTCTGTTCCCATTGGGGTGGATGACAGCACTGTGCATACCCTTCCCCGCTTCAGATAACGGCTTTTCCTGCATGTTATTCCTAAGCTTTAATGAGCTGTGTGTTGTACAAGTACTTGGCCAGAGGCTGTCTCTGCTAGCCATGCTGCTGTGAGCCTGCACGGGCGAGCTGGAGGCCTTGCCGTCACGGAGACTGACATACCCAGCCTGCGTGTCCAAAGTTAGGAGGACTTGTTTGTTTTTTCTTGGTTTGTTTAGGTAAGGTATTACTCTATTTCCCAGGCTTGCCTAAACTCCAGGCCCTCCTCCTGCCTCTGCCTCCTGAGTGCTGAAAACTCAGCAAGCCTGGGCGGATACTAAGACTTTCATCTCTCTACATGCAGTCTAAGTGGTGGGGAAAACACTCTTTTAAAGAAAACAAAAACAAATTTGAAAAGGAAATGAACTGGCAAATCTTTGAAAACCAAAAGCAGCGTGAGTCTGGGTTTCGTTTTGTTTTAAAGAAGAAGGGAAGAAAAGGCTGAAGGCATTCCTCAACTCTAGTACCCTGGACCCTTGGTACCACAACTTACTTATCTGAGCCTAGAAGCATCAGCTGAGCCTGTTCCCACATGCACCTTGAAATAAACCCCACTGACTGAGGCAGCCTGAAGGAGCCTACTTCCCACAGCCTTGGGAGGCTCAAGGGCACAGGAACCCCTCGGGGGGCCTGAAGAAGAAGCTCTTTGTGGATACACTGAAAAGCCCGGAGGAGAAATGAAAACACAAGGCGCCATGCATAATTTCCCCCAAACACTTCCAGATCTCCTTTGAGGGGATTAGTTAAGCTCTGGACTGCTTCCTGAGGAGGGTGCCAAAGACAGCAAAGCTCTGTGACAGAGATGAAGCACACCCAGACCCCAGGCTCTCTCCAACTGTGATGCGAAAGCCCTCATCTGGGCCCGCTGTACTTTGGACTTCACATCGGTTTTTCTTTACTTTCTAGAAAGTTTGACATGTAGAGAAGTGTGTATCTCTACATGCCAAACTAATTCATCGCAGTTTCCAAGTTGTGTGACTGAAAGCTTCATAACACATGAGAGCTGCAGATGAGTCCCTGTGCTCAAAGGCCCTTTCATGCTATCTAAGCTGAGCTAGAACCCTAAAGGCAAAACATTCCAAAGCCTCAGACTTTTGATTATATGAAACCAAACCCAGCACAGTGTGTTGGTGGGGGGAGGACCCTAGTACTTTCCTGCTCTAACCTGGGCTGCACTGAGGCTGTTTGTGACAGATGAGCTTGCCACGTGAAAGAACTGGTGGAGCAGGATCAGGTCCGTGAGTTTTAACTGGCAAGCGACCTGTCATGTGTAGATGCATGGAGAAGGTCCATCAATATCTCCTACATGGTAGGTTTGTAGAGTTTGGTGAAATGATGAACCGAATAGGAAAAGGCCACCAGATCAGACAGTTCAGCTTTGTGTAGGGAGACAGTGGAGTGCGGTTCAAGCATGCTGCCGGAAAGGTGTGGGCTGGGCTGCCGCCTGCGCCCCTGACCAACCGTGGAGACGGTTTCTGCTGTCTGTGGACACAGAGATGGCATTCTCACTGGCAAATCTGGGCCAACCCCAGCACTGCGGGTCGCACGCCGAGTGACTTGCTCTGCTGTGACCGCTTCCTGGCACCCAAACTTCCGCTGTTGATGCTGGTGAGTGATCTGGTGAATGTTCGGATGTTAGAAAAGTGAGCCTCGGTACACTCTGCCGTGTCCTGTTTCGTTGTCCTTTGTTTGCTTTGCATTTCTGTCACTTCAAATGAATAATGCAATGTAACGTATTTTCATAAAGGAAGTGGGAATATGGACCACAAAAATTTCATAGCCCTCCTATGAAATGATGCGGCCACTTGCAATTCCTTTGGAAGGAAGTTATGTTACAGAAAGAAACAAGAGGGCAGATACCATGGCTCAGAAAGCTTGTCCAACAGTGATCCCCAGCAAGCTCGTGCCAACAGATGCCAGAGGGAACGTGCACCTTCATCCTCCTGCCTGGGCACTGAAGCCCAACTGCAAGCCTTGGGCCTCGCCCATGGCTGGCTGATCCCATCCCTTCCCTATAGTGTTTGCTGGCCAGCTTTGCCAAGCATTAAGACAGTGAGCAACTACCATGCAGACCGACAACACAATAAATGCCCTTGTTTCCAAGGAGTGGGAGGAAGTAATGGTCAAAAAGACTAATGTTAACACAAAGCCTCAAGTGTCTCCGGTACTGCTGCCCCTGCCCTGATGAGGGCAATGAGTTCTCTCTCTTCACTGATTTGATAGGTGAGGAAAAAAAAAGGAATGAGCAAGGGAATGCAGCGAATGCATTATGGAGGGAAGGAATGTCAGAAAGGGAGATACCCCGTGTGATCCTATCAAGGACAGAAAGGGAGTCTTCAGAGTGTGTGGGCATTAATACATGGACAACCCAGGGAACCTGGTCTCCTGCACTGAGCATCTACGATGAAGAATGCAACTGATGTGGCCCAACCATGCAAAGTTTGTTTCCTCGGGTACACAAAATCTAAGGTCGCTGCTGACTGAGGCTCAATTCTATTAGGGTCTGGAGAAGAGCGCACATTAGAAGTCCCATGGTAAAGATGTTTTTGTGGGTGCCTGTGTGTGTTTTAAGGTCTGCTGTCACTTGGCGCATCACTCACAGTGTGGTTCGTAGGGAGGAGGTGGGTCTCCACAGGGCACACACTCCATGTCTTGAAAACCAACAAGTTTGGTCTTTCGGTAAAATCTGGAAGAGAAAGGAGAGTCCTGGTTAGTGGCATCATCAAAGCTCACTGCTGCAGCCAAGTGTGACATCATGGGTTAGCAGCAGCCTCTAGAAGCGAGCTTTTGGAGGAGTAAGAAGCAGCCACAGGCTGAGCACATGGTGAACAGTGCACGGTCTCAATTCCCTACGGAAAGCCTCCCCATTCATCCTTGTCCACTTTTCCTGGACTAGGGTGGGATGCTAGACAGGGAATACGAAGCCATGAGCTCTGGCATTCTGCTGCACTCTAAGTCACAACACCTCTTAAATGAACTGCTAGATTCAGCATTTGAAATCTAGGAGCCCAAATGCAGCATATATATTTTTATTAGAAATGTTTGTAGGTAGAGATGATGCATGCTAATACTAATTATGGGTATTTCTAGATGGTAGGAATTCACATCATTCAAGACTTTATATTTATATACACACATAACATAGACACACACACATACACACATATAGTGTTTTAAGGGAAACCATAAAGCAACAATATCGCTAATGAGAAGCCCCAAATTAAAAATTATTACGATTATGCTACTGCTTGTAAATAAACCAACAAGGACAAACTTAAAATTATTACTGTGAAAGTGATGCCACAACTGGATAAAAAGGCAAAACATTCATTCTCCGAAGAGCATTTTTCATAATTAAACCAAAGTTTGTTTCCACTGGTTTTAGATGCTTAAACTCCTACATAATCAAATGAATGCAAACTGACGTGGAAATGTATCGTTTTTACTTGGAAAGTAGGGAAAGGATAGTGTATGCACACAAATAAACACAGGGTGGAAGGGTATGGGGTTCGGGGAGTCGAGGACAGGCAGGCAAGAAAGAGACTCTGAAACCATCCCTAGAATAAAAGAAAAGTAAAAATGCTAAAGATAGAGAAGAAAACAAGTTTTAAGGTCTACTAAGCTGCATTCACTTACTCACATCTCAAAACTGAATCTTCATCTTCCTCTCTGGGGGAGGTGCTTTTTACAACCCATGTCTTCTGTCATTACCACCTGACTGGTAATTTAGTGATTATCCTGTGCAATAGAGTCTGACCTTAGGTTTACTGTGTACGGTGAGCAGGCTGGTAATTCTAGAAGCCTCACAGTAGTTTGGAAAAAGTCTTAGCTGAGCGTGCTGTGTGCTGGCATGCCTGTAAACCCAGGAGGACTGAGGCCAGCCAGAGCTACACAGGGAGACCCCTTGAAACAAAACAGGGCCCAGAACTCTTACATTTTTTTCTTTGTAGCAGTGGGCCTACGGAACAGCGCAGGCGGCTCCTGCATCCCTTCCTGTGAACTGTGCCTGCGCAGCCCCTTTCTGCCCGGTCCTCAGTATTTAGTGATCATTCAGACGCACGGGGGGGCTCCTTTACGGGCAGCCTCACAAGCACGCTGCTCTTTGGTAAGAGTCCTTCTACTGCTCCCATGTAAATATCCCATTTCCTCAATTCTATTTCCAGGGGAAGCCGTTCTTTACGCACTTTCTAATCTTGGCACCACTGTCAAAAAGCACCAACCTTATAGGCAAGGGCTGATTTCTAGGCTCCATTTTGTATTCTTTTGGCTTGTTTATCTGTCTTTGCACCATGGTATCAGATATTAGCTGAGCATATTTTCATACTCAAATAAAGTAGATTGACTAGTCACTGAATGTATCTGGGATTTGATCTAACTTATCCAGTTTTAGATTCATTCCCATAGGAGTGGCACAGCTTCCTACTGCATTATTCATTATTCTGCTGAGATCAGAGGTCAATCTCCAGTGTTGCTCTTTCCACCTTGTGTTTTTCGGGACAGTTTCACTAGCCTGGAATTCATCACATGGGCTACTCTGTGCTAGGAAGACATGCACACAGGAGGGTTGGCTTTGACTGTGGGCTTTATGGACGAACTCTGGTCTTTGAGTCTACATGGCCATCATCTCATGCTAATTAGGTGCATGTTCTATCACAAGCCATCTTGCTCTCTCTTTAGCTCACTGAGAGTACCACAATTTGGGACACAGAGACTTTTGCAACTGAATTTTCTATCCAAGAGAGGTAGGAAATAAATTTTTAAATGAAACAAAATGAAAGGGAACACAGACACTCATTGTACAAAGTGTCTGGTTAACCGGCTTCGGAAGCTCCGTGGTAAATCTGCTCTTGGCTCTCACACACATAATATAAAAAGACAAAAGAAACCCACATTGGACTTTGCTTGTGTGCTATGTGATGAAAAGTGGAGTGTAAATACATCTTATAGACGCGAAACTCAGTGACTGTGGTTGTGAGGAGGCAGTTTTAATTGATCTCAATGCAAGCTAGACTGGTTAGCCTGTGGTAGACCTTCACACTTCCACCAGCGAGAGCACTTTCGCTATGCAGAGCTCCGGCACAGTCAGCTCTGGTTTTACAGTGCGCTGGCTTGTGCCCTGTCAGGTCCAGTCAAGCCAGGGCTTAACTCTGCCACGCACAGGATGGATGCCTTGGTTTATTCACACTGCTTTGTTTGTGCTGACACTCCAAGCCAGCCGTTCAGCTCTCTGTGTGCCTTGCTCAGCAGTTGATAGCCATGGCCCCTTGATGGACACTGTACAAATGCCAGTGACAGGCTGAAGCATTAACCTAAGAGCCCAGACGCCACCAGCAGCGCCACTCACTGTCACCTCCTGACAGGGTAAGATTTGGGCAATGGGAGAAGAGGACATAAAATGTGCAAGCCAGTTCAGATAGCTCTTAAGAGCTAGGGCCAGTCCACGGGGAAGCTTGAGGGTAGAATGGGCATGGGAGAAGGAATGAGCAGATGAAGTGAATCATTTCCTATGAGACTTTCCGGTTTCAGCAGGCCCTAAGCAGGAGGCTCCACACTGGGAGAATCCCTGGCCCTCTGCTCACAAGTTGCTAAGGACCAGTTTCCTCCTGTGTAAGGAGCAGACAATGCTCCTTCTGATTCAGCAGCACTGTTTGGTGACAACCCACAGAGAGTGTCTACTTAGAGGAAGTGCTCGCTAAATGGCGTCGCTACCAGGAGCACTGAAGAACTGGAGACCAGGTCACCCTTTTCAGAACAGAGTTCTAGCTCCGCATGGAAGAGAAAGGATGGGCCACAGGAGGCTCACAGTCACTCAGACACAAGCAGCCTCTTCTAGTTTCTATTGCTGTAATATACACCATGGCCAGGCTGGAGAGATGGCTCAGAGGTTAAGAACACTGGCTGTTCTTCCAAAGGTCCTGAGTTCAATTCCCAGTCAACCATATGGTGGCTCACAACCACCTATAGTGAGATCTGGTGCGCTCTTCTGGTGTGTATGGCAGAGCACTGGGTAAATAATAAATAAATATAAACAAAACAGCCGACACACTACAACTAAAAGCCTCTTGGAGAGGATAGACTTTATTTCAGCTTACAGTTACAGTCTGTCATAGAGAGAAGCCAAGGCAAAAGAAACTAAAGGCAGGAACCTGGAGAAAGCAGCTGATGCAGAGGCCATGGAGGGTTGGTGCATACATAATACACACACACACACACACACACACACACACACACACACACACACGCACACACGCACACACGTGCGCGCACATACTACCTACAGTGGCCTGGGCCACCCACATCAGTCATTAGTAATAAAATGCCCCACAGGCTGGGTACGGTGGTGTGCACACCTTTACCCCAGCACTTTGGAGGCAGAGGCAGGCGAATTGCTGTGAGTTCGAGGCCATCCTGGTCTACAAAGTGAGTCCAGGACAGCCAAGGCTACAGAGAGAAACCCTGTCTCAAAAAACCAAAAAGTAAAACATAAAATAAAATGCCCACAAGCCTGCCTACAGGCCAGTCTAAGAAAGGCATTTTCTCAGTTAATGTCCTCTTCCCGATAACACTCTAGCTTGTTTCAAACTGATATAAAGCAAGCAAGCAAGCAAACAAACAAAAAAAACAAAACACAGCCACACAAAGCCTTGCTGGCTGCAAGGCTACTGATGGGCAAGCCTGTCTGGTATCTATGCAGTGTTCATCAGGGACTAGGCCCTCTCCTAAGAACTTTTATGCTTTACATTTTCATTCCTCCAACAACTCTGAAAGATGCTAAGATTCTCAGATGACAGCTTGTAAGCTACTGGCAGGAAGTCAATGAACATTTTGGGAAGCTAAGGAACTGGGTGTTTGTCATCTCTTAGCTTGTGGGCATCGAAGACACTGACGTACACACACATGCGCACACACACCACTCACATACACACATATACCACACTCTCACAGAGCTGCAGAAAGAGGAGGTTAGGTGGCTCCTATGGGTGTGGCCTCCAGGAGCAATGAGTCTAAGGCTGAGGAGGCAAGAATGGTACCAGAGGTGACAATGACGACCTGGGCATGATCTTGAGAACACTGTCTGTCTCTGAAGCAAGAATACTTGGTTTTTGCTTTCTGCTTTAGTTTATATATCTGCAAAACGGGTCTCAACTGTTTGCCCTCTCCACAGAAAGCTAGTCAAACTACAGGAGTACTTTTTAAATACTGTAGAATTATCATGTGCTCGTATATGAATGCTGCCTTAGAAATGGTATAATTTTAAACTAATCATATAAATGTTTTGTCACCCATCATTCAAATTTCTTTCCATTGATAACTTTACAACATATAGGCTCTGCTTAAAAAATAAATCATCCTGCTGAAAGTAAAGGGGCAGACGCAAGTGACAATAGGTGGGCTTCAGACAAGGGGCGGAATCAGCGGGGTGCCCAGGGGCTGCATTGTGTCCACTGCATACATGTGTCCACACGCACACAGCACACCCCGGGGGGCTGCTTGCTAAAAGCCCAGGAGGCTGCTTCGGAAAACCAGTCCCCAGGTCCTGCCTTCCTCACAGTCTCTCTGCTGCCACCTCCCTTGGTCTGCACCCGGGAGCCTCAGTTTAGCCCCGTTCCCCAGATGAGACAAGGCATGCACAGACATACTTCCTTCACAGAACTGTGGATCACGGGTAATAGAGGCATGACCCTTTTTGTTGTTCAGCTTTTAAATGACAGATTTGTTGAGACATAATTCACATACTACACAAACTACCCACTGAAAGGGTTGCACACCAGTGGTGTTGTTATAGTGTCAGAACCAGCCGTAGGTAATGGGACAAGACGGAATGAGTGGGGATTGAGAAATCACAGTTTTAAAGAAAGAGACAGAAAGCTTAGGACAGTTCCGGGAGGGCATTCAGTTCAACAGCTTCTTTTTAAAGACGAAGCAAAACAATTCACATCATTACAAGGATAGGGTTCATCGAACAGTCAGTCTTGTTCTCTAAGACCACATTCCTATATGGCAGACATGGTCCAAAGGTCTTACAGACAAGTTAAAGAAATTTGGCAAAACCTCCTGCTTCTTTCTGTTTCAAGGTAAAGGCCAGGGCAAAAATCTGTTTTTTGCCGAATACTAAATAACAAAGCAACTTGCCAAGCAAGCAGCTGTCCCACGCACACAGCTTGAGAATGAACTTTGGCTTCCCACATAATAGTCACGGAATTAGGTATCTATCTCCACAGTTGATATTAGAACATTTCATCACCCCCAGAAAAACTTTTAACCACTAGCATCACCCTCATCCTTTACAATGCTCCCCAGCCCTCAGCCCAGGCAGCCCAAGTGGGTTTTTCATATCTGTATATTTGCTGTTCTAGGCATGTCACTAAGTGACCATTAGATATGCAGCCTTTTATGACTGTCCTCTTTCACTGAACACAATTATTGTTTCAGGTTCATCTATATTAGCAAGTGTCAACATTTCCTTCCTTTTTATTGCTGGATAATATTTCATCATTCAAATCTACACTGTGTTGTCCATCCATTCACCAGTGGATGGATGTTTGGGTTTGTCTGAAGTCTTTCTAGAATGATAAAAGGAAATACTATAGACTAGGTTACCTATAAAAAAAACCAGACATCATTTCTCATGGGTCTGGAAGCTGGGAGGCCCAGGGTCTAGGTGGCAGAGACAGAGACTGTTAGAGGCAGCCCTCTTGCTGCATCTTCATAAAGGAAGGGACACTATGTCTTAACATGGCAGAAGGTGGAAGGGCAAGAAAGGGACAAATTTTCCCTGCCAGTCTCTTTAGACAGTTCAGGAGAAAGGATCCATCAGGACCCACCTGTGGCATCACAGTGGCACCTAAATTCTGGAGAGGACTAAGTCATTCCATAGCAGGGCTGCCCCAAGCTTCTGGCTGCTATGTGTAATGTCACCACAAACCTCAGTGTGTCAGATTTCTGTACGCATAACAGTTTGCAAATCTCTTGATTATATGCCCAAGAACAGAGGTGTTGAGACTATGAATCTCTGCATTCAACCTCTTGAGGAAATGTCAGTTTGTTTCCTAATGTGCTCACCCATTTCACATGCCCACCAGTCATATAGGAAGGTTCCCATTTCCCCACATCCTACAAACGTGTAGCTGCCCAACTTCTCATCTGTGGCTACTCTAGTGGGTGTGAGTGGCTGCGGTTCAGATCTGCAAGCACCTTTTCTGCATATTCACCATTTGCTTGAGTTATTGGAGAAGCATCTATTCGAAGCCTTTATTCGTACTGTAACTGATGGTCTTTTTGAATTGAGTTGCAGGAATCTTTCATATACTCTTGATGAGAATATGACGAGCCAGCTAGTCCCCTCTACAGGGACCCAGAACCTAAGGAGCTGCAAAAATTGTGGTCTAAAGCCAAATACACATATGAAAAAATAGGTATGTTGTATTTCTTCAAAACTAAGAACTTCTGTACCTCAAAGACACCACCCAGAAAATGAAAAGCCCGTCACAGAGCAGGCTGAAATGTTAGTACACCCCACATCTGTCAAGAGGTGTACTTAGGTAGCTAGCTACATGTGGCCCTTCCAGGATGCCTGTCACTGAGTCCATGGAAGGCTCTCCTCTATCTCTTCTGCTCTTTTCTCCTCCTGTGACTCCTGTGTGTGTAGCAGGTACTGAACCCACAGCCCTGCACAACATGGCAAGCACATTATCCCTGAGCTACATCCTTAGCCCTCTCTCTTTTTTAAAAAATACTGTGAGATGGTATTTTTCAAACATTTATTTGGGGGAGGGGGTGTGTCATGGCATGCATGTGGGGGTCAGAGGACAACTTGAGGGGAGTTGGTTTTCTCTTTCTGTGAGGTGGGTCCTGGGGTTTGAACACAGGTCAGGAGGCTTGGTGGCAAGTGTTCTTACCTGCAGAGCCATTCTGTTAGTGTGCAGGTGACTCTGCTGGTCACCCTCAGGGGTCTAGCAACGTCCTGGTCATCATCTGCCACCACCACCAGGTGTGGCAGGTGTATGTGGCCCATAAAAGAACCACCCATCGCTCTCTGCTCTCTCTGTTCCAGCTGTTTCTCTCTGAGTGTCCTAGTTTCCCCTTTCTTTCCCTCCCTTCCCCCTCTCTCTGCCCTCATGGCTCACTCCCTGCCTCTACACCTTCTCCAAGTCCTCTTCCCCCTCCCCCAATAAACTTCCCTATACCAGATTCTTCAAGGGGTATACCTTGCCATGGGCTCACCGTGGCACCCCCTCTGCGCATCATAAGACATTCTCTTGGCCCAGATTAATACTTTCAAAAGTCAGTAGAATGTAAGCACCACATGGCCAGAAATCTCTGCTACTTTCTCCTCCAACCTATTCCAGGGACTCAGGGAATAGCTGCAGCTTTTGTGGTATTTTTCAAAAATACTATTCTTTGTGAGCTGCCTTTCAATTCCTTTGTCCATCTGTCCACGTGTTTCTACTCTTCAAGTGTGACTGCTCTTCTGCCTTGTCACCAGAGCCTGACTCAGAGTAAGCTTGGAGGCTGCCAAAGGAATGAGACATGAGTTCCAGATGTTGCCATCAGATCCTGGACGAGCCCACAAAATGTTCTGCCCAGTTCACGAACCCCAAAAGACTAGGAATAAATAGACTCCCTTGTAAATACATGAGGTTCTTTTTATTGTAAATTACAAGCTGCAGCTTACCACCGAAGTGGTGAGAGCTGAGCCATGCTCAGATTAGTTGGGTGATTTAAAGATTCTGGTCCCTCCCAGCATGCCCAAGGCAGGGGCGATTCCTGCCTGGCAAGCATCTATTAGTCAAAATGCTACATTTTGAATTGATTGGCTATAGGAAGGTCCCCAGACCATAATGACCTGGTGTCCCTCCCTAGGAGAATGGGCCAGTTTCCTAGCAACCGTATCTCTAGTGGGTGGGGAAAGAATGCAGTAAGGTGGTTCTTCCCCTCAAGGCATTCCTGGACTTCTCCATCCAGCTAGTTCAAGCCTTAAATATTAATAGCTGCTGATTTTTAATCTTTTGGTCTCTCAGTATCACTGTGCTTTCAAGTTTAGAAGGAACAGAGAAATGCCTTGGGAAACATTTACTAAAGTAACAGAAGAAACAGCCCAACTCACCCTGGCAAGCAGTCCCCGCAGACAGTGTCACTGGTGTGGGAACAGTTGGACCTCTGGAAGCGGTTCACCAATGCACAGTCCACACATGGCTTGCACTTCTGGAAGCCCCAGTCCTCCTTGAACCTGTGCGGCCGGCAGGGCACACACTGAGCCTCCTCCCCGTAGCCGAAGCCGCATTCCTGTGGGGATTAGTGGGTAAAAGACAGCTATTCAGACTCTGCAAGCTTGAAAAAGGAAAGGCTGCTGGGATAGAGACCCACCAAGGCCCGCCTTCCCAGGTACAAAGGCAACCCTTTCTGCAAGTTCAAATGTGTCTTCCCTGGCTAATAATCTCTGCCGCCTGCCTGAGTATCCTTAACTTTTGAGCAGAGGCGGTGAGCATGTGCATAAGAAAAGGTCTCCCATTGGGGCAATGGAGCTGAATTCCGGCACTTTCTTCTCCCCTACTTAAACCAGCCATGTGACGGCTCAGAAGCTTGTTCACTCATCAAAGCAGAAAACAAGCACATCACTTTCAGCAGTGTAGCCTTAGGGGACAAAGGTGGCCCTGTGAGAGAGTCCAGAAGCCTTAAAACACGGACCAGTTTAACGTTTTCTGTGACCAGAGGGTTGTTACCAATTTGTTCAAAGAGAGCTAAAGTAGTATACAAGCTAGAGTCTGGGATATGGCTCAGTGGTAGGGAGCCTGCCCAGCATACAGGATGCCCTGGGCTCAGTGCTGCCAATAAAACAAAGCACCCAAAGGTCTCAAGCCTCAGGTGTGATGTGCATGGGGAGACTGTACTGTTTTGACAGGAATGGGTGACATACAAGAATCTTTGGGATCCAGATGTCGGCAAGGTCAAAGCAAAGTAAGCCACAGCAATCATATGGTATGATTATAATGCATCTGAAAAGCCAGACGGCAGTTGCATATGCATGAGTAGTTCATCCACGAGGCTGGAGGTCTCAGCTGGTCTTCAGGATACATCAGGATCCCGAAGAAGTAGGCTCTAGTGACAGTGAAGGGATGGACTTGCCAGCAAGAGCGAGAACAAGCAGGCAGAGTGAAAACTTCCTTCCTCCATGTCCTTTAGACGGCTGCTAGCCAACAATGTGGCCCAGATTAAAGGTGGATCTTCCCCTCAAAAGAGTAAAAGTGGGTCTTTTCACTTCAGATGATTTCATTAAGGGAAAAAAAAATCTCACAGGTGGACCTGTAAGATTTGCTAACTTTTACTTCATTCCAAATGTAGTCAAGTTGACAACCAAGAATAGCCATTACAGGTTCACCCTTGTCAACTTGACACAATCTTCTCTCCTTATGTCATGCATAATTTCCCAATGAAAACAATACCAGGTCATAATTACACCCTACATGATATAACTATTCCACATATAGTCGAAAACGCATTATGTATTTAACCAGGTCATAATTATACCTAATGTGATATAACTGTCCCTCATAAACCGCAAACACATAATAAATTTTGGAAAAGGTGGCAATATCCCTCGAGGGACCTTCTTTTTGCATCTCAAAACTTAAATAAAGTAACTACTGATGTTGTCTTAATTGATGTTGTATTACAGGATAGAGATATCAAGAAAAGAAAACTCAAATATCTGTATAAACGGATTCTTCACAAAATACGACAGAACCATTCATGTTGATTCTAACCCTTGCTTCTGCAACTGGCCATATGGCCTTAGCTGATATTTATAACTACTTTCCTCTGTGACCCAGTCTATATTTCCTCCACCCTCGACAAGCGCCTCAGCCTCTTTTCCTGGGGGAGTGACCCATACCTTCAGTCTTGAAGGGTCTATATTCTTTGTCATCCTGCCTGGATTGGGCTGGTGTACTTTCCCATTGACTTTACTCACAGGACACGGTAGCACCAAGAGATTCCCTAAAGGATCTCTGGCACTGCAGACATAATCTTTCTTACCTCCATTATGAAGAAGCAATCTAATTTCCCCTTGGTGATCTGGCCCAACCACCCCTCCAAACACTGTTATTTCTTTCTTAGCCTGTTGGTTTAAGGGCCTCAGAAGCCCGAAGTGGCCAGGGGAAAGTCTGAGCTTCCAGTTCGATGGGATGTTTGTTGTGTCTACTGGCAGGAGGGTTCCCTCCTCTGGAACCAAAACTTCTAGGTCAGCAGAACTCAAGGTTGTGGGAACAGGAAGCAAAAGTGTTCCTAGTAGGTCACTAGGAGTAAGAGTGAGTGGAACCATTCCCTTTTTCTACCCCCTCGGTTCCTGGGACTGTGGGCTTTGGCTTTGGGAGAAACTGCACCATATCTTGGATGCTGATTCAAAGTATATACTGCTTTCTGGAGGAGCCCGCACCAGCCCTCCAAAGCTGCCGACACCAAATTGGTAACTTTGTCTTCAAAATGTCATTCCATCTTTCTGTCATGCCAGCTGCCTCAGGATAGTGGGGGACATGGTAAGACCAGTGGATTCCTTGATCGTGGGCCCACTCTTAAGACTTTTCTGGCTGTGAAATGAGTTCCTTGGTCAGAAGCAATACTGTGCAAATATCATGACAATGGATAAGGGATTCTGTAAGTCCACGGATGGTAGCATTACATGCAGGAAAGGAAAACCCATAACCAGAATAAGTAATTACTCCACTAAGTACAAAGCGTTGTTCTTTCCGTGGAGGAATGGTTCAACATAGTCAACCTGCCACCCGGTCTGTGGCTGGTCACCCCGGGGAATGGTGTTATATCTGGGGCTCAGAGTTAGTCTCTGCTGTTGGCAGATCTGGCACTCAGCAGCAGCTGTGCCAACTCAGACCTGGAGAGTGCAAGTTTAAGTTGTTGAGCCCATGCATAAACCCCACCTCTGCCACCTTGGCCACTTTATTCAATGGCCTCTGAGCAATGACAGGATGGCTGAAAGAGGCTGAAAGGGCCATTCTATCCACTTGACTGTTGAAGTCACCTTTCAATGACATTTACAACAGAACACAAGTGTCTTCACATCCTTTGCCCATTCGGAGAGATCATCCACATGCTTATTGCCCAGATGTCTTTCTCATCAATTTTCCAATCGCACTCTTTCCAAGTCACTGACAAGCTAGCCAATCTGACAGTTAATCAGTGAACAATCACACGTCTGCCCATTTTTCCTTCCAAACAAAATTTCATGGCCATGTGTAATGCCTAAAGTTCTGCCCACTGTGAAGATTTCCCTTTGCCACTGTCTTTCAGCGTTGTCCCTGAAAAGGGGTTGTAACATTGCAGCTGTCCTCTTCTGGGTGGTGCCTGCAAAATGTGCAGAACCATCAGTAAACCAGGCCCTAGTCTTCTCTTCCTCAGTCAGCCAATCATTGGGCTAGTGCCAAGAGGCTATGAGATGCACGCTTGGAAGCTGCCAGCATTGTACAGGAATAGAAACTATAGACGTTTGGGTAACTTCTTGTGTAACTCGCTTGTGCCTTCAGGACCTGCTCAGGCCTGTCACACACATCCCACTTCCATTTGAGAATAGAGTGCTGCTGTGCACATTCTACTTGATGGCTTGGTGTGTCTGATAACACCCACCTCATGACGGGCAGCTCAGGTTGCATATTAACTTGGTGGCCCACTGTCAAATGTTCAGTTTCCACTAAGCCCAATAGCGGGCCAAGAACAGTGTTTCAAAGGGAGAATAATTGTTTGAAGATGAGCCTTATCCCCAAATCCCAAATATCTCTTTTGTGACACACCAATAGGGGCCTGCGAAAGGTACTAAACAGCATCCCTATCTGCCACTGACACCTCAAGTACCAGTGGGTCTGCTGGATTGTATGGTTCAAGTGGTAGAGCAGCCAGCACAGCAGCCTGGACCTGCTGAACAGCCTTCTCCTTTTCCAGGCCCCACTCAAAGCTAGCAGCGTTCTGAGTCACTTGGTTTATGGGCTAGAGTAACACATCCAAGTGAGGAATGTGCTGTCTCTAGTATCCAAATAGGCCCTAAACATGCGCTTCTCTCTTGATGGTGGGAGGGGCCAGGTGCAATGACTTATCCTACACCTTAGAAAAAAAATCTCTGTATGCCCTCCACTGGACTCCAAAGAATTTCACTGAGGCAGAAGGCTCTTAAATTTTATTTGGATTTATTTCCTAGCCTGATACACATATGTGCTACCAACGAGTCAAAAGTGGTTGCTACTTCCTGCTCTCTCGATCCAATCAGCATAATGTTATCAGTATAGTACACCAGTGTGGTATTTTGTGGACAAGACAGATGATTGAGATGCCTTTGAACTAAGTTATGACACAGGACTGGAGAATTAATATATCCCTGAGGTAAAACTGAATTTTGCCAACTGAACGCAAATTGCTTCTGGTGGTCCTTCTGGACAAGTACTGAAAAAAAGGCTTTTGCTAGACCAATAGCTGCACATCACGTACCAGGAGCTATGTTCATTTGCTTAAAGAAGGATGCCACATCTGGCACAGCAGCTGCAACTGAAGTTACTAGTTCACTGAGATTTCGGTTAGTCAGCAGTCCTTCTCCGTGATCCAGCTGCGCTCTGCACTGGCCAGACAGGAGAGCTAAAGTCAGACGTGATGGGAACCCCTCCCACCACCAGGAAAGAAGCACAGTGCTAAGTGGTCTATTTGAATACAAGAGACCACACACCCTTCATCTTTCAAGTACTTGATGTTGGCACTAATTTCTCCAGTTCCTCCAGGGATTCGATAATGTTTTTGATTCACTATTTTTCAAGGCAGGGGCAACTCTAAAGGTTTTCATTTAGCCCTTCCAACCATAACAGCCTTCCCTCGGCAGGTCAGGGAACCAATGTGAGAACCCTGCCAACTCCTAAGTGTATCCATCCCAGTTATTCATTCTGGGACTAGGGAAATAACCACAAGATGAGTTCGAAGACCACTGGACCTATCGGGAGTCAGATCAGCCAAAACTACGTTAATCTTAGCCAGGTACGGTGGCACGCGCTTTTAATCCAGAAGCGTGATTGTTTCCTTTCCCAGGAGTACAGTTATCCTTGTAAAAGACTATAGGTTCCTCTCGGGAAGGCTAGAGAAAGGCTAGCAGTACAACTCTCAGGTATTTTATCTGAGGAACCTGACCATCCCTTCAATCAAGGAGTTCAATCAAGCAAACTGACTCAAGTCTGGAAACTGGTTACAGGCTGAGATTCCCTTATGCCACGATGCGATGTAGCCTTTCTTTCATTTATTTG